TCAGGATACGGAGTCTAAAAGGAGACAGGGACCACCTCAGAAAGTGGGGACACTGGATGGCTACAGCCTCAATGAGGGGTAGAAAAAAATAACCCTTCCTCTACAAGGGACAGCAGAGAAGTCTCTGACAATGGGAAGAGGAGAAAAAATATCCCTTGCTATTTGAACTGGTCCCCCAGCCCTGCCAACCCACAAATTTTGTGGTCTGAATTCACACTAACAGCAAAGTCCAAAATATCTCAAGCACAGAAATTAGGTTAAGAAGATTCGAGTTGGTACTGCTCCCCCAGCCCCATAAATGGCAGGAAAAAAAATGCAAACCATCAGGGGAAGAACTCAACTGCCATCCAGGCCATAGCTGACTAGAAGAGGTAATCCAAATTTAAAGATAAAATGTGGAATTTATATGACTTGAAATCAGTAAAATACGGTAGGCAGATAAGTTCCTGCCCAGTAGAAGAGATGTCCAAAAGCCTAGAAAACAAATACTGGGTACACTTATCATGATGAGCACTGAGTTAAGTTTAGAAGTGTTGAATCACTACATTGTACACTTTAAATAAATTTAACACCGCATGTTAACTACACTGGAATTAAAAATTTAAAAAAAAAATCAATTTTCTCATCAAAACAAAACAAAACAAACACTGGGCATATAATAAAAATGTCAAACCAGAGCATATCATAGAAACATCAATGACAAAAGGGTACATTTTAATATATGGCACAGCCAAAAACTAAGAAAAAAGTTAAATCCCTCTATTCTTCTAAACTATGTTCTTCTAAACTATGAAGTTAAGTGAAAAACAAACTCATTTAAGAAAAAATTAAGCATAATTATTGAAATGATAATCTCAAAAGACTGGCCAACATTTTTTTTTCTTTTTTTTCTTTCTTTTTTTTTTTTTTGGTGACAGAGAGAGAGAAACAGGGAGAGAGGGAACACAAGCAGGGGGAGTGGTAGAGGGAGAAGCAGGCTTCCTGCTGAGCAAGGAGCACAATGCGGGGCTTGATCCCATGACCTGAGCCAAAGGCAGATGCTTAACAACTAAGCCACCTAGGCACCCCCGGCCCACCTATTTTTAAAACATGCTCTTTACCCACCCAACGCCCCAAAATCTCAGCAAAAATAAAAGGCAAATGTCAAATTGGAAAACAACTCCGCAGTGACAAAGGGCTAATATCCTTAAAATATCATTAACTATAAATCAGTTAGAAACAAAAAAAACCCTACACCACACCTCCACACCTTTTGCTCAAAGGCCAAGACTAGACAACTGACAACAAAGACAAATGGCCACTGAAATATACCAATAATGCTATATTTCACTAGCATCGGAAATACAAACTAAAACAATGATAAACAATTCATGCAATTGTTGATCAACAAAATTTTTTAAAATGGTAATACCCAGTGTTGGCAAGGATACAGGAAAACCAGCACTTATACAGACATGAAAATTGAGCAACCCTTCTGAAATGCAATTTAACAAGAGGTGTAGATTCAAAATCCTTTGCAAATGTGCAGTATGCTTAGATCCAACAATGCTACATGTAGGAATTTATCCCGAACAGATTTGTGCAAAAGGTACATGCAACTGTAAGTCAGATTTATAATAAAGTTGGAAATACATCTAAACACCTAACAATGGCAAATAACTTACTTTAATAGAACTATAAAATGGAATACAATGCAACTATTAAATATTACATATCCCAGAGCATTGTTTATACTAGTGAAATATTAGAATAACCTAAATGCCCATCAACAAAGAATTGGCTAAAAAAACTACAGTGTAGCAGTCAGTGGGACACTACACTATCATTACAAACAACGAGACAGCTCTTACGTCCTGACAGCTCTACTTCTCTAGGTCTGAAATGATCTTCTCTCCCCAGATAACTACCCGGCTTACTTGCTTCAACAACACCTTATCAGTGACAGTGTCCCTCACCATCTTAGGATAGCAACTTGTCCCATCCCACGTGTGCTCCCTCTCTCCCTTACCCTGCTGTTCTATTTTTACCATCTGGCACACTGCAATCATTTATTTACTGCCCATTCTCCCCCAGAGGAAAAAAGATCTTACCTGTATCAGTGCCCACACTCCCCTCCTTCATCTGTTCCAGGAAAGATGTATCTCTGCTCCTCTCCGGAGGCTAAATGCTTCACATGGCCTTGGCCCCTTCCTGCATTACCTTTTCAAGTATTTCCCCCCACAATTACCCCTTTTACTTCTGCCTTATCAATTTCACCCTCCAATACTAGATCATTCTCAGTAGCAAACAAACACACCTTAATATCATAAAATGTCCCCGTCTCATTTCTATTATCCTTCACAGCAAAACTCTTTCCTCTCTGACCCTTACCTCTCCTCCACCCACTTTACCTCAGCCATGACATGAAAACACCTTTGCTCAAGGTCACCAATGATGTCCTACGTTCGCCTCAAACCAATGGCCAAGTCTTGGTTCTTGACCTTGACCTCTCTCTCAGCAGCACTGGACACTGCTAACTACTCTCTCTTGAAGCAATCTTTTCTCAGCTTCCCTGAGCTCACAAGCCCCCAAATCTTCTCTCACTTCAATGGCTCCTCCTTGTCCACCAGACCTCTTCTCTACATACATACTTCAAGGTGATCTCATCCCATTTCTGGCTTCAAATGACTACATATATGCTGATGATTGGTTTTAAGGTCATTACCTTGAGCTCTGAGCTTCAGACCACCGGCTCCAGAACATCAACCACTGACTTAACACAACAGAACAGATTCCCATTCTCACACCTCACCAAAAAACTATGCTTTGTCCACAAGCCTTCTCAGAAAAAGGTACCATAATCCACCCAGCTGCTCACACCAAAATCCTAAGACTCATCCTCAACTTCTTTCCTTCCTCCCTCACGATGAACTTATCTGGAAGTCCTGGACTTCCCTCCCTGCAAAACAGATCTGCACTCAACCATCTCTCACCACCCCTACTACTAGAGGCCTAGTCAATGCCACCAGACCAGCCTCTTAATAATTCTCCCTTCCTCTCTCCTTGCCAGCATCTGCCCTCCACCCAACACCCAGACAGAGCGTTCCTTCTGAAGTCTAAGCCAAGTCACATCACTCCTCCCATTAAAACCCTCCATGTTTCCATTATACTTAGAGTAGAATACAAAGGCCTTCCCAGCTTCTTCATAAGCAGGCCTGCCACCTCTGACTCCTCTCCTCCTGTGCTCCCCTTCATTACCCCCAGCCATACTGGCCTGCTTTCTGTCCTGCAGACGTGCCACGTCTGTTCCCATCTCATGACCTTTGCAGCTGCCCTTCCTCCTGCTTGGATCGCTCTCCTCATATCCTCAGATGTCCGCCTCCCTCTCATCTTTCAAATTTCAACTCCAATGTTGTCATCTCAGCCAGGCCTTCCCCAGAAGCAACCCATCACCCACATCTTCCTAATTTATCTCCATGAGACCTATCAATATCTGAAATTTACTTATGGATTAGAGAACAGGTTGACTATCGATCTCCTCCCAGGAGAAGATAAATTCTTTAAAGGTGAGAATCCTATCTTATTTTCCACTTATCCACAGCATGAAAACTGGTGTCTGGCACATAGTAAGTACCAAACAAATATTTGAGGACCAAATAAGAGACTATTTTGTAATTGAAAATCTGAACTGGGATAGTTTTTGACATTACCTTTAGTTTATTTTACTATTGTAATTCCAGAAATGGTGAGAACTGATAAAACTGTATCAAGAGTCTGATGATAAAATGGCTTTTCGGACCTCTTACCTACACTGTTGACTAAGACTCCCTAATATACATTAGGAAATGATCTAAATGTACACTAACAGGAAACTGGCTAAATAAGATGGAACACAGCCACACAAGAAATTACTATGTAGCCAGAAATTACTATGTAGCCATGAAAGAGAATGAAAAAGATATACGCTAACACAGAAAGCTGTGCAAGTTATAAGGCTGATGGAAAACATCAAGTTGCAAAACAATACGTTCAGTGAGATCCCTTTGTTTTTACATGCACGCGCATTTGATTGGATGTGCACGGGGCAATCCAAGGAAACCCTACTGAAAGTGGTTATCTCTCCAAAAATAAGAAGGTGGAAGCTGAACTTAACATTTATTGCTTGAAAATTAAAAAGTGTCAGGAACAGGGCGCCTGAGTGGCTCAGTCAGTTGAGCATCTGCCTTCAGTTCAGGTCATGACCTCTGGGTCCTGGGATGGAGCCCTGCCTTGTGCTCCCTGCGCAGTGGGAAGTCTGCTTTTCCCTCTGCCTGCCACTCTCCTTGCTTGTGTGCTCTCTGACAAATAAAGAAATAAAAATCTTTAAAATAAAATAAAAAAATACAAGGATTAGCTATAACTGCCAATGTCTTTTCCCCCTTACTCATGTCTTAAATGTACACATAGTGTCTGGAACTACGGGTGTCATCTCATAATTATGGATTAAGAATCAAAATGCAGTATAAAGATGCCAACAATGTGAACGTCCAGTGACATCATTCAACAGATGAACCCTTCCCGTTAAATAAAAAAAATAAACCTCTATTCATTTGAGGTACTGTGACTTGGATTCTGTTACCTACAACCAAAGGAATTCCTAACTGACATTCCTGGGAATATCTTTCAGAAAGAAACTGAAAATAAAAGAAGTCAAATTTTATGCAGAATTAGGAAGAAAATTATAACATGTCAGAAATGTAGTCTGCAAACCAATTCCCCCTCTTTAATGTCTCTATTCTGAATTTTTGTTAAAAAAGAAAAAAGAAACACTAGGAAGAAACAGAAAAGAGAAAATTATAGTCAACATCAACTCCATAAAAAGGATTTCAGAGAGGCACCCAGCTGGAGCATGCGACTCGTGAGTTCCAGCCCCACGTTGGCTATAGAGATTACTTAAAAAAAAAAAAAAAATGTTTTTGTTCAGGATGAAGCATTCACAGTGTATGCACACAATAAAGATAGACTCACACAGTGAAACCGAAGCCCGATCAATGCTGGGGATGTTCTGGACTGATGGTCACTGTTCGATAAATTTCTTTAAGTAACAACAGAGCAGTATCTTCAGATTCCCTATCACAAAGAAAAGAACATTTTTACTTAAGTGACCACTAGTAGAAATTAACCTCTATGCATAAAGATGGAAAATGCAGCCCTTGTTCTAGTCAACTCTACCTAAGAAAGGCAAATGACAGCGTAGTCTTAAAGCTGTCCTTGTAAACTGGATGGACACCGATCAGCTACAAAACAGCTGTGTGCAATCCTCCACGGTGACAGGGGACATCTGAAAGGATGGCTTTTCAAAGTCCCTACCACTCCCATTCTGTGAAAGGTATCCCTACAACACCAGTGTGCGAGTACCAAAGGCCTTTGGTCAAAATGAGATGACACACTGCCATCTTGTGGATAATAAAGGGGGAAAATACTGATTTTGAATATATGGCACTTGTAATTAATATTCCATCATAAATGATAAATCAGCTAAAGAGTCTCCCTAAAACGTATGTGCTAGCACCTAAAGGCCACGCGAATATTATCAAAGAAGAAACCACTTACCAATAGCATAAATGACTCTGAAGAGCGAAAAGATATTCATTAAAACTCTCTATTGGCTTTTCTTGAAGAACGTAGTCAATTCGGCGACCTCCGTTTAGCATTCCAACCTTTCCTAAGTAGTCCTCATCCTTGGAAAAATCTGGACTTTCAACAATCTTTTCTGCTAGAATTTAAACCATTTCAATATCAAAGTCAATCACTTAATCATTATCCTTTGACTTTAGCTGACTTTCTGGGCTCAAGAGAGTATCGCTTGACACACGTAGCAACCTGGGGAACTACCAGGCTCACTTCCCATTCCTCCAAAGAGCCAGGGGAAGGAAGAGGGGCTGGTTACCCGAGAGAGAGGAGAAAGAGCCAACGAGCTGACAGAAGTTTTGAAGAAAAGGGGTGAGAGAACATTGTAGAAAAAAAGGAAACAGAATTAGAATCTGAAAGAGTCAAAAACATCCTGGCACAATGATCTGACAACACAGACACAGTCTAGAATATAAGGACACCGTGAAACAGCAGCGTCAGGACGAAAATTTCTTACAGTGGTTCTTTAAAATGCCTGAATACGTTAGCTCTCGACTCTGATATTCCACTCTGGCCTTAGAAATCTCAACAAAAACTTAAGAATGCAGAGTAAAAAGTCCAGCAACTATCAGGCAAAAACCCAGAAAAAGAAATGACATGCATTGTGAAGTACAGTTTATCCTAACAGATTTTCCTTTACAAAAGAACCTCTAACATTTTAACAGAAAGGACCAGAATGGAAAAGCATCATTAAATAATTCATAAGTAATATGTTTACAAATAACATTTGTACTAGAAAATGCTTCTCAAATGTCAAATTTACCTTCAACTACTTGTTTTTCTTCTTCTTCTTTGATCTGATTGGCCACTTTCTCCAGTTCTTCTTGCAGCTGAGTTGAAGAGGTGTGAGCGCGGGCAAACTCGTTTAACGTCTGCCAAGCACTTTTCAGGGAGCTAATAAAGCCCTGTTTCAAATCAGATCCCATACGAGAGAGACTGTCTTTCAGCTCTAAGGAGATTAAGATGACACATCATGTCAGTTAGTCACTGGATAAAATTCTGCACCACAAAAACTGAAACTAAACACTCTTCTCAGACAGGGTAAGTCCTCTTTTAAACGCCACAGTTTCTCTGCCAAGAACTCTCAATATATTAAAATGTTTTGTAGAGGGGCACCTGGGTGGCTTAGTCAGTTAAGGTCGGCCTTGGGCTCAGGTCATGATCCCAGGGTCCTAAGTTCAAGTCTCTCATCAGGCTCCTTGCTCAGCAGGGAGCCTGCTGCTTCTCCTTCCACCTGCTGCTCCCCCCTGCTTGTGAGCTCTCTCTGACAAACACATAAATAAAATTTTTAAAAAAGTTTTATAGAGCCTTATTCTGTCATTTTTTTAAACAACTAAAACTAGTTCAGCCAAAATGTGTAAGCTTCCTCTCTCCACAAAAGAAAAAAAAAAAAAAAGGGGTGGGAAGGTGGAGTTCAAATATCGTAAAAATGTAGGCACGTTCATGTGCCTTTTTTCTGTAACTTAAAAGATATGGGCCCCTCCCCTCTCACGCTTTCTCTCACTCTCTCTCTCTCTCTCTCAAAATAAATAAATAAAAATCTCTAAAAACAACAACAACAAAAAAGGATGCCTGGGTGGCTCAGTTGGTTAGGCAACTGCCTCCGGCTCAGGTCATCGACCTGGAGTCCTGGGATCTATGAGTCCCGCATTGGGCTCCCAGCTCCATGTGGAGTCTGCTTCTCCCTCTGACCTCCCCTCTCATGCTCTCACTCTGTCTCTCAATCTCTCTCTCAAAACAAATAAATAAAATCTTTTAAAAAAAAAAAAAAAAAGACATGGGCCCACAAGATTAAAAAGATGACTGCTTTTTTTAATCTATAATCATAAAATGGTTTTGAGAATTTGAGATTTTAATGTAACAACAATATAAACTTCTGATTTAAAAATGAAGAAACCCCTGCCCTTTCACCTCTTCTACTTTGTGGTCTAATAAATCCTATTTGCATTCAAGGTATTTGAGTCTCAAACTTCCCATTTTAACTCCAAAAGAGTTAAGTATTTTTTAATAGCACGATGTAAGCACCCCCCCCAAAAAAAGGAAGGAAGAACAGAAAAAAGAAAGAAAATCCAATTTTCAACAAAAGGATATGATCACTTTCCCCTTTTCTCCACTGCACTCCCATCCCTTCCACCCAAACCTTTAAACCTACGGATGATATACATCATTAACAGGCATAAGAGAGACATAAACCCCACCTGGAATTATTACTGATCCATTATGTTTAATGGATGTTTTTAATTGGAAAAGTTTATATAGTTAGCAAGGAAGTAACAGCTCATTTGACTTAGCATCAAGTTTATTTCTTCTTGGTCCTTAGTTCAAGTGTTATTCTGCTTCCTAACTCCAGAAATTATGACCAAATTCTTTCAATCTTTGCATCTCATCCCTTTAGTACTGACTTCCCCCATTCCTAAGTATCTCAACCATTAGAACACCACACCAAGAAGAAAGTCATCAAGAAGAAGCGACTCATTCAGAACTTTCTTTATAGCTCTTCTGAACATTTAATAAACAGGTTCCAAACACAGCAGGCACTTAACATTAATTTTATGAGAAAGGATCTAGTGTTAAAATTTTCATGATTAAATTACAAATGACAGGAAGAACATAATTCATTATGACTAACAGATTACAAAATGACAGAAAGGAAACAAGTTTTTATAGTATTTGCTTTTTACCTAAATGAAGTCTTTTTCTGCCTTTGTGATGTGGGATGAGAACCGCTTTCAGGTCCAAATCTGGAACAATCATAGGCTCTAATCTATAAGCCACTGGATCAAGCTGTAAAGAAAAGTGGAAATTTAGGAAAAGTTCTTTTATCTTGAGTTATGTATCTTGACTGGGTGACAAAACAGGTATCAACAAACCAGAGATTTTTTATTTTTTCACAAGTGGTAATTATAAGAAGACTTACTACTGGTAATTATAAGACGACTTCTAAATTGTGAGTAAAGCTGGCTTTGTAAGCAAAGCAATAGAATTATTTCCTTGAACAAAGGCTTCCTGGTAGAAAAGTTTATTGGACAGCATCAGACCATGCTCTATTAGGACAAAGAGTTGAGTTGTACATCAAAATGAGAGTTAGTTCCTAAGAAATAAGAATCTGAGACTCTATAAGGATGATCTAATAAGTGTTTCTATGTAGGTATTTCATCTTTTTCAAAATAAAAAGTAGTTCAAGTCACTCACTGGATGATAAATATTGAAGAATCCTTTACACGTAGGAAGCCTGTAGTTCTCATCTATTCTATCCACTCCTCGAATAGTGAGAAACATACCAATTGGAGATCCCAAGGCAAAGAAAATCTCTGGCTCAAAGTCTAACGCGTTGTAAACAACAGAAACCTAGAAAGAATCAAAAAACAATATAAGATCATCATTCCAAGGTCACAGAATAAAAAATTCAGAAGTTCAAGCTGGAACTGCACTTAATTAAAAGCATGTTAACACAGATGGTGCCATTCTAGGTATGGTTTATAATGCTTATAATCACTGTCAGCTATTTTAAAGGGACAAAAAATTTCTCTTTAAAATCTTCATAGACTGGGGGCGCCTGGGTGGCTCAGGTCATGATCCCAGAGTCATGCTATTGAGCCCCGCATAGGGTTCCCTGCTTTGCAGGAAGCCAGCTTCTCCCTCTCCTACTGCCCCACCTTGTGTTTCCTCTCTCACTGTGTCTCTCTCTGTCAAATAAATAGAATCTTCAAAAAAAAAAGGTAAAATCTGCATAGACTATTACATCCTCTGTCTATATTTTACTTGTTGTACAGCATAACATACACAGTATATAGTAAGCATTGTATTTATTATAATTATAAATACCATTAATACTGCAGATTCTAGATTCAAACTGCCTGGGCTTGAATCCTGGCTCCACAACTTACTGTGTGACCTTGGGCAAGTTTCTTAAACTCTCTTGCCTCCGCCTGTTTCCTCATCTACAAAATGGGGATAACAATGCCAAACTCATAATGGAGTCGAAAAATAAATAACCTCATCCACATATAGTGCTTAGCACAGAGCCTGGCCTATTTTAAGCATCCCACAACTGTTACTTCTCTTGTAACTACCACCTTTGTTTGTCCAAGCAAGCTTCTTTCCAGTAGAAAAATGCTTTTTCCCAAGAGAGCCCCTGTTTTGGCAGCTTGCTTTTAGCCCCTCACCTCACTGACAATGGCCCAGAGTAAGAGAAAGCCCCTACATTCGTGGCACTCTATGGTTTACAAAGCTCTTTTGTTTGTTGCTCAGCGGCAGGATAGAGGTCTTTGTCACTCGAGTATCCTGACAATGAAGAACGATGAGCGGCATAATCCGACCGCGTGACAGAGTCCCCCTGAAAGGGAGGTACAGCAAGATTATCGTGTCCATTTCTCAGATGGAGACAGTGAGGCTCAGAGAGATGACATCACTCACCGAAGAGCACTCACCAGTGAGTGGCAGAATGAGAACTTCGAATTCCAAATCCAACGTGCCTTCTACTACACTAGGCTGCCCCTTCTAACCAAGTCTAGGCTGTTCATCCCTTGGCTTGCCCTTCTATTTGCAAATTCAATGGTTTCTGCTACTGATGAGGGCCACACAGGACATGCTCTCAAGATTATACATTTCCCCCAGCTCCAGATTAAAAAAAGGAAGAAGAAAAAGAAAGTTAAGAGAAAAATTACCAACTGGAAATTACAACATAGATGACAAAGAGCTAATATCCTTAACACACAGAAATTCTTAAATATCCAAAAAGGAAAAAGAAACTCAGGAGAAAAGTAGGTAAAATCAACACTTCACAAAAGAAAAATGCCTAGAAGACTTATGAGAAAACATCTACCTTCTCTAATGCTCAGAAAGGCAGCGAGATGCCATTTTTCCTACAAGGTGATCAGAGAGATGAATGAAATACTAAAAAGAAAGAAAGAATCTTCTGTTTTCATAAAAGTCGTTTTTTCAGAAGAAAGTGATAAAAGTGAGAACACTACCTATCTGTAATGGAGAACGACAGCAGCAGAATTACTGAGGGGGGGAGCGGGGTTAGTCTTATAGACTGCCTCCGAGAGTACGAACCAACAAAACTTTTTCAGGGGCAAGTAGAAGTAACTACCAGAATTTTCATGTGTACATTCTTGAGCCTACCTACCCCACTTCCACTTATTTAACTGAAGGAAATAAGAATGTGCACCGAAAATTGGTTTAAAAGTGTTCATCACTGGACCGCTTAAAAGAGTGAAAAACCTAAAACTGCCTACATGTCCAATGTCATGGGTGAACTGTGTCCCCCACAAAAAGGTCACGTGTACCAGTACCTCAGACCTTATTCGGAACTACCACTATCTTTACAGCGGTAATCAAGTTAAACTAAGGTATTTAGGTGGGCCCTAATCCAAGACGACTGGTGTTCTTATAAAGAGGGGAAATGAGGTCACAGAGACAGACACACAGAGGGAAGACGACGCAGACACAGGGAGGAGCATGTAAAAACAGAGGGCTGGAGAGCGGCATCTCGGAGCCAAGGAGCACCTGGCAAACCGCCAGAAGCTGGTAGAGGCCAAGAAGGGTTTTCCGCTATAGGTTTCAAAGGGAGCGTGGCCCTGCTGACACCTTGCTCTTGGGAGTTTGAGCTTCTAAGAACTGAGACAATAAATTTCTGTTGTTTAAAGCCACCCCATGTGTAATACTTTGTCATGGCAGCATGAATAAACTAATACACCCAGTAACAAGTAAACGAAAAAATAAATTATCCATCCAAACAGTAAAACAGCAGTCATTAAAATGAGAGAAATACTTACTGACAAAGGAATATATTCATAATAGTGTTTGAAAATGGCAATGAAAATGAAAATGTTTTGGTAAAACATGTTATGTAGTATTTCCCCATCTTTGTTAAAACATATATATAAATACATGCTTAAATAAAAGTCTAGAAAGCCTTATTCAAAGAGTTCAGAGGTTAGTTCTGGCTACGAAGAGTATGGTATTTTTTATTTTCTCTCGCTTAGCAGTTTCCTGGCTTTCTGGCAAAGAATGATGCACACGGGCTATTGTTTACACTGCCCCACAACCTTTTGGATAATAGACCCTACTTGCCCACACTGGGCCACCCACCGTGGAGGTGGCACGTGACTTGGGCTGGGACAAACAACCTGTGCCCCATTCCCCAGGGAGTACGAATTGGCTAAAATGGACCTATAACTCATACCAGGTTAAGCACATTTTCCTAACTAGATCTACAGGGGGAGATTCCTTTTCCTCTGTGGTCATAAAGCTGTAAGGAGATGAGCCTACAAGGACACCCATGATTCCAGGTTCATGGAGAAGGTCAGCTCCCGGAGAGGGACACACAGTGAGAGTGTCCTGGTCACATGGAACCCCTCGTTCCACAAATCTATACTCTGAGCCTTCAGAGTTAAGTGAGAAAATATCTGCCCTTTATTTGCTGAAGTTCAAGGTGGGGCACCTGCGTGGCTTAGTCGAGTAACTGTCTGCCTTCAGCTCAGGTCATGATTCAGGGTCCTGGGATCGAGCCTCACTTCAGGCTCCCTGCCACATGGGAGGCTGCTTCTCCATCTCCCTCTGCCTGCCTCTCCCCTGCTAGTGCACGCATGCTCACTCTCTCGCTCCCTCTCTCTCTCTCTGCCAAATAAATCTTAAAAAGAAAAAAAAGTATGTTCAAATTTGGTCGTATTTAAAAAGAAAGACATTTTTAGAATGCAATCAATGAATTGTGTTTAAAAGTTTGAACAGGCTATTACAAACACCCTGTTCCATTTTCTGCCTTCTTTAAATCAGTCATGAATTCACTTAGGATAATGGAACTTTACAGACACAACTGTAAGTATACTGAAAGTAACAATGTCTAAAAAGATTTTAATACTTCTAAGCCATTGAGATGTAAGTATATTAAAGTGTATTATTAAATGTAGCACTGTCTATTTCTTGGCCAATTTTTATAGGAATTTTTCTGAAAAGGAAAAAAAAGATTTTTCTGCAAGGGAAGAATTGTGAATACTAAAAAATGTAAGTTAAGTGAATGCAACAAGTTTCTCTCAAAGAAATTTAAGAATATAGTAGTCCCCCCTTATCCAAGGGGATACATTCCAAGACCCCCTGTGGATGCCTGAAACCTCACATAAGACCGTACTCTATACACTATGTCTTTGCCATAAGACATATACATATGTCTTTACCTATGATGAAGTTTAATTTATAAATGAGGCAGGGTAAGAGATTAACAACAATAATCATAAACAGAACAATTACAACAATATACTATAAAAGTTATGTGCATGTAGTCTGTCTCTCTTGAAATGTATTCTTGTACTGTACTTGGCCTTCTTCTTGTGATGATGTAAGATAGAAGGCCTCCGTGATGAGATGTAGCGGGATGAGTGGCGCAGGCTTTGGAAAGTAACATTCGCTTACTACTGACCTTCTGACCACATGTCAGAAGGAGGATCATCTGCTTCCACACCACAGATGACCAGGTTACTGAAACCACAGAAAGCCAAACTGCATGTAACTGGAGACAACTGCATTCACATGATTTTCAAACTACCGTCACTCCATTGCTAGTAGCTATGAAAGACTAATGTTATAAAATAATGAGCAGTGGAAAAACTAAAAATAAATTTACTTCAAAATAAATATTTTTTAATTGAGAGATGCACACAATCTTACTGAGAGAAAATGTTTTCTCCACCCCCCCCATAAATACTGACTATTTTAAGAAGTTAAAGCCAACCCCAATAATAAAGATATGTGATTCCAACATAAAATGTGCAGCCCTAATCAACTTGTAAACTTACCTGTCCAGTGCCAACTTCGAAAGACTCATAATCAACATGCACAGAAGACACATAAGCACCAACTGGAAGTTTCCGCTTGGACTCGTTAGCGTCTGAGGGGAGGGAAGTCATTTCTTTAGCTCTCTGAGCATTTTCCTCTTGTCCCTTTGTCGAAGCGGCCATCACTGCCTTCTTCTCTGCTGCTGCTTTTTTCTGTTCCTGTGAAACAGCAACATTTCACAACACGACCCTGAGAAAAAGTTCATCAGCTAGCTCTATGGAACAAGCTATCTCAAAGCTAAGGAATGCTCAGTAATTTCCTAGGCAGAGTGGTGTCAGACAAATATCCTTCTTAGAGTCACACACTAAATATTTAGGGAAGAAATGCCATGGTTTCTACTATTTAAAATTCCTAAGAAAAAAAATGATAAGAGACTGAGAAAAAACAGCAAAACAGCTACAGTTAAATCTGAATACTGGCTATCACTACACTTTTCACTCTACTTTTCTAAAGAACTTAAAATTGTAATACAAAATGCCAACTGTTTTCCTTTATGAACTCAACTTTAGATAAAGTACCATATAATTGTGAAATACGTATATTTCCTATAAAGAGGTGGATTTGAGGAGAAATGTCTTCATTCAACATGTTTGCACCCAAGATGTCTGCGTGGAGCCACTGACAAGTTTTCCTCAAACCCATTTTGGGAAAAACAGATGAGCACACTGCGGTTAGAGTCCCGCAACGGAGTAACTACTCAAACAGGAAGGAATGAACTGCAAATGACGCAATAACTGGATCGATCTCAAAAACGCTGAGGGAAAGAAGCCAGATACAAAAGAGCACATGGCGCTGATCCCATTTATATGAAAAGGCAGAACAGGCAAAACTCAACAGTGACGGAAACCAGAGTAGTAGGAAAACAGGGAGGAGCGGACGAGAAAGGAGCAGAAGAGAACTATCTGGTGACAGAAATGTTCTAACTCTTGTTCTAGGTGGTGATTACACAGATGCAAAAAGTTTCAAAACTTACTACGCTGAACACTTAGGATCCAAGTACTTCCATAAAGGAGGAAGTAAACCAAAGCTCTGGGAGCCTCTGTGGAACCAGCCTCCATCCCCTTGTCCTATCCTCTTCCCAGCTCAACTGCTATTTCAGCCATAGGTAAACACAAGCCCACTCCTGGAAGGCCTATTTCCCCCTCAAACATCAACACTTGGGGGAGTTTTCTCTGACCTTCCTCAGCCCCTCACCCCTCTCCCCAGGCCAGAAATGCCACTCCCCTGGCTCTGACAGCATGGATAGCACTGTTACAGGACCAGTAAGTCACCTGTGGTCAAATCTCTGCCCCTAACTAGACCACATACACTCAATTCATCTCCAAATCCCAAATATTGACATGGTACCTGAGCCAAAAGATACTAATTAAATCTTAAATAACTCAACTGCTTAGGCTAATCAAAACAAATCAGTCCCGACTTTATAGTCCTGTTACATGCAAAGTGATATACACTAAGGTGTAAATATATAATACAAATAAAAGAACTACAGCAGTTCAAAAGATGGAAAGATAACACAGACCATGTTTACAACAATAAAGTAGCCACCTTAAGAACTAATTTTTCTAAGTACTTAGAGAATCTCTATAAAATTAATTTGATTAGTACATGAAAATTAGGGGCGTTGGGGTGCCTGGATGGCTCAGTTGGTTAAGCAACTGTCTTCGGCTCAGGTCATGATCCTGGAGTCCTGGGATCAAGTCCCACATCGGGCTCTCTGCTCTGCAGGGAGTCTGCTTCTCCCGCTGACCTCTCTCTTCTCATGCTCTCTCTCATGCTCTCTCTCTCTCTCTCTCTCAAATAAATAAATAAAATCTTTAAAAAAAAAAAAAGAAAGAAAGAAAGAAAAAGAAAATTAGGGGCGCCTGGGTGGCTCAGTTGGCTAAACATCTGCCTTCAACTCAGATCATGATCTCAGGATCCTGGGATCGAGCCCCGCATTGGGCTCCCTGCTCAGTGGGGAGCCTGCTTCTCCCTCTCCCTCTGCCACTCCCCCTGCTTGTGCTCACACTCTGTCTCTCAAATAAATAAAACCTAAGAACAAATAAATAAATGAAAATTAAATGAAACAAGTGAGTTTTTCCCAACTGCTCTTCTTTCTTTCTACATGCTTTTTAGTTGTTGTTTTGTTTTGTATTTTTAAGAATTTTTGCTTTTTTGGTTATTATTTCATGAGATTTTAGCGAGGCTATTCTTATCTCTTTAGATGGTGAGAACTAAGAACAGAGAAAATGAGCTAATATTTATTAGGGGCTAAGCTTACATGCATTAATCCAACCCTATAAGGAAGGTAGCATCATTCACATTTTAGAAATTAGGGAAATCAAGAATCAAAAAAGTTAAGCAAATTGCTCATGAATAAGGAGTTAATAAGCAGTTGAACTGGGACGACTGATTCATCCATCTGTCCAGGGCTTACCCGGATTTTGCACCAGGAAATCCCCAAATACCAATTTTAAAACTCAGAGTCCTTCACCCTGGGAATTCTCTCAGTCCCAGGAAAACAGATCAGTCGTCCTAGCTGGGGTTGAAACTCGGTTCTGGCGGACTCCAAGGTCTGCGCTTACATCAGTTCCACACTGCGCCCTTGGGCAGGGAGCACGTTAGCCGGCCTAACCATACTGTATTAACAAAAACTCCCAAAATCTAAATAAGAGAGTCAAAGATGAATTTTGGTTTCTGTTTTTAGGGCACAAATAAACTTTACCAGTTTAGCTGCTTTCTGTTTTACAAAGTTAGCAATCTTCTTTCTGGGTCCAAGGGGTATGCCCATTTCCTTCAGGTCATCGACTGTACACATAAGCTTGAAAAGAAAATAAACAAACAAGCACATTAGTTAATCAGTTTAATGACTGATGAAACTGAAATCAGGAAATGATAAAAAGAAACTAGACGAACGAAAGCAATCTAAGATCCAGCCGATTTTTTAAAAAAGTTAATTTGCTTTTAAATCCTCGATTAACTTAGGCTATAAACTCTGAGCCCTCCACATCTAAACCATTCTAGTCATCTTTGGCAGAAAATACATGCATTCTGTACAAAATTAAAAAGCTACACGGTCAACCAGACAGCGAAGTCTCTTCCCTCTGCTCCTGTTCCAACCACCTAGCTCTCTCACAGCCTCTGCAATCTGCTCTTTCCAGAGACACCTTCCGTATACACAGCACTTCGGTGGTTTTCCTTGTGTGTGTAGTCTGCGAGGCAAATGGGACTGAACTACGCTCTTTTCACATAACATATCTTAGAAATCACTTCATACCTCGGACACTGCCTCATTTATTCAACAGCTGCATTCCATTACATGCATGCGCCTTGAACTATTTCACTGGTGCCCTACCAGCAGACTGGTAGGTGTTTCTCAGGGTTTGCTATCATGAACAGCATTGTCACAAGTACCCTTAGATACTCTTGTGTCAATATTCCTATATTTGGAATTATTCCTGGCAAATTACTGGAGCAAAATATTTTTTGTATTTTTTGCATTTTTGGGGGGGTCTTTTTTCTATTTTAAAAGGCATTACCATCTTAACCACAGGGAACAAACTGAGGGTTGGTAGAGGAGAGGTAGATGGGAGGGATGGGGTAAGTGGGGGATGAGCACTAAGGAGGGCACGTGATGGAATGAGCACTGGGTGTGAAACGCAACTGATAAATCACTGAAACTAATAATATGCAACTAATAATATAGTATATGTTAATTACATTGAATTTAAATAAAAAATTAAAAAAATAAAATAAAAATTTCCAACGCTATCATTTTAGACTAAAAAACCTTCATCAAAAAGAAAGTTAATCCTGCAATAAAAAGAAAATAAATAAAAATTTAAAAAATAATAAGGTATTACTAAACTGCTTTCCATAGAGGATGTACCAACTTACAGTCTTACTAACCATATGTAAACCGAGCCCAGTTACCCTCATCTTGGCCCCATATTATATGAACAAGCTTATTTTTGCCAAACCGAAAGGTTAAAAAAAACTCATTGCACTTTCAATCTGCCTTTTTCTCATGAGTTTTCGTATGACAAGAAGCCATTTGTTACTTCCTTTTCTGTACGTCATTTGTTCAGTCTTGGCCTATTCTAGTGTGTTGATGGTCTTTGTGCAACTCATTTATAGGAGCTTTGAATAATAAGGAAATAAGCCCTTTGTCTCTAACGTGTGCTCCAAATATTCTTCTTAATCTATCACTGGCCTTTAGATGTTGTTTAGGGCATCTCCTGCTGTGCAATTTTTCTTTTATGGCTTCTGGGTTTTGTGGCATACTTAGAAGCCCTCCCAGATTACACTAAAAAACAAACAAAACTGTGTTTTTCAATTTTTAAACATTTAAGTCTCTGCCTTATCTGAAATGTATTATAAGAGTACTCAAATGATTCATAATTTTTGATCTTATAAATAAGAGAAACAATTTTAAACCAAAATGAATCAAACTGGGATGCCCAGGAGGCTGAGTCGGTTAAGGATCTGCCTTCGACTCAGGTCATGATCCTGGGGTCCTGCGATCCCTGTGTCGGGCTCTTGTTCTGCGGGCAGCCTGCTTCCCCCTCTCCCTCTGCCTGCCTCTCTGCCTACTTGTGATCTCTCTGTCAAATAAATAAAATCTTTTTATATAAATAAAGTTTTTAAAAAAATGGATCAGAGCAACCCTCTCGGGTCCCCTTCCTCTTCCGGAGCTTTGTACGATCACTTTACTGTCATTCAATAAACTTTGCTTTGCGGCCCACCAGACAAGGAAGGAAGGAAAGGAAGAAAAGGAAGGAAAGGAAGGACGGATGAATGGATCAAACTATCCTCAGTACCAGAGATTCCATATCAATCTTTTCCTTTTCAAAAGTGCTGACATATTCAGAGAGGCTAAGTGCTTCCAGAGTCTCTTGCAAACTTAGGACTTCTTCATTTTCAACGTCAAGGTCACAAGACTCATCCAAAGTCAACTTTGGCTCTTCAGGCATCTTAAGGGAAAAAAAAAAAATGTCAGGGGAACATTGCAAACCTCAGAAAAACTCCCATAAAATGTCTCCTGATCTACAGTAAATCCTAAACAAGTTTGCTCCATAGAGAAATCACAATTTTAGGTAGTTTATCACCCAAAGTTTGAATATTCTAAGAAAAGTGTATCAATTGAAGAAATCACTCATTCCCATTTTCTACAATAATTTACTTAACATTTTTTTAATCATAAGCTTTCTCTCACATTTAAATTTATAATCCATAAGGAAGACAAGTGAGAGACTCAAAGGAGCTAAGATGATTCTATCATGCTTATAACCTCAGGGTACTTTGATTTATAAAAACATTTCAGGGGCACCTAGCAGACTCAGTCAGAAAGGCATAGGACTCTTGATCTCAGGATTGCAAGTTCGAGCCCCACAATGGGTGTAGAGATTACTTAAATAAACTTTAAAAAAAAAAAAGAAATTCAGGAAACAGTTCAGACTTTAGAAAACTGTCTGGCTTTATCTCTAATCTAAATACGTTAAATGGGCTATACCTGCTTTTCCTGAAAATGTGGCGGCTTCACAACTCCATTAGCTACAGCAAAAGGCCCAGGAGACTTTGACAAATTCAAATCTTTTTGATTAGACAGGATGTCAAACAATATTAAAGAACCTAAAAAAAAATTACATTTTGCTTTATAATGACTAATACTTTTATACCACTAAGTAAATTCTCTTTTCCTCAAACTCCCTAGGCAGAAGTCATACAAAAGTTAAATGTCAATCAAGATCTGATCAATATTGTTTTCCCAAACATCAGAGTAAATTAAAATATAAAGCATTCCTAGGTAACTGAAAAGCAAAGGCAGAACCTAAACAACATATTCATGTCCACCCTTTATAAAAGTTAAAATCTTTAATTCTAAATCTTGTATTAATAATGTCACCCTCACTAAAAGCAGTGATAACTCAACAAAAATTATGTTTAAAATGTGAATATTTGACAGTTTTACCTAAACTGTGACCAGCAACAGAGACTCCTCCTTTGAAGTCTGGATTCCGACTCATAAAAAGTGCATGCAGACGGTTTATCTCCATTCCCACTTTTTCCACGATTGTCTGACAGTAGGTGGGGCTATTGTAAAATAAAATATCTAGCAAGGTTTCATTGGTAAAATGACGAAACCGACCAATACTTGGTAAAGTAATTTTCTTAATGTTCCTGTTTTAGAAAGAAAAAAAGTATATTCAGTCACTAGCCACCTTACATCTACAGACATTTTTAAAGCTTAGACAGTGATTTCTAATGAGTATAAGAATCCCACAGACTAGGGCACTTGGGAGGCTCAGTCTTTAAGCGCCTGCCTTCAGCTCAGGTCATGATCCCAGGGTCCTAGGATGGCCCTGCACAGGGCTCCCTGCGCTGCCGGAACTCTGTTCTCCCTCTCCCACTCCCCCTGCTTGTGTTCACTCTCTTGCTGTGTCTCTGTCAAAAAAATAAATTTAAAAAATCTAAAAAAAAAAAAAAAAAAAAAAAAAAAACCTTACAAACTAATTATGAGTTGATTCTGTAGACAAAGTTATTATAAATGAACCAAGATAAAGCAAAAAGGTGTAAGTGTGCATACAACTATACTGCGACTTTGGGGATTCTCCAAAGAGTTATCACATAAAACAAGGCATATGTAAAATTTTTAATTTATTTTTCTTCTATTCTTCCATTTTTCTTCTAATTAACTGGAAATCAGGATACCTGACAAAAATTGTGGTAGGAAGGATGACACGGAATATAACAAGGAATCAGAAAGGAGTTTCATGCACTGAAAATCTTTCTTGATTTGAGAATTTAGCAAAGTTCACGAACATCCACAGAGAAAGACTGCCCCTCATCATAATAGGACCTACCATGAAAGAATATACAGAATAACACAGAATGCTGTTTGTAGAATTAGTGTTATAAACCACGTGCCCTGAAACATTATAATCTTCACTACAATCCAGATACGTTATTACTCGTGTCCTACGGTAAATATTATCTAAATCTGTGTTTCTCAATTGAGAGTATGCAAAACAGAGTAGGGCACGTTTCGTTGTCACAGTGCCTACAGAATTCGCTGGCTTTTAACAAGGACTGGAGATATATTTGGCTGTTGGGGGTCTGGGGTATTGTCTAGTGGGGAGAGGCCAGGGTGCTCCCAAACATTCTGCAACTTACAGGACAGCCCCGTCTGAACTGCTACCGATTAGAACAGCATTCTAAAACTGGATGACGTTTCTCAGACTCTCCTAAATATCTATACAGACATATGCATGCACACATGTGCACACACACACACACACACGTGCACACAGAAAAGCGGCATATAATCATTAACAGCCAGTGTTTAAATCATACGTCTGAGCAACTATATCATTTAAATAAAGGAATACATTTTTTTAGCACATATGTTGAAGTTAAAATAAACGACTTCATATTTTGGTTTAAATTTTGAATCTAAGTTTGACTAATCTAAACAACAAGTTATCAAAGTCCACACACCTGTCAACACCTGTGGCATCCCCACCCAAGGAACTATGCCAATGAACAGGAAGGAATTCCACTCTGCTTATTTTCCGATCGTCTAAAGATTTCTTGAAATGTGTCTGCAGCAATTTCAGAGAAACCACCCTAAAATCATCCACTTAAAAAAAAAAAATCAGGGAAGACAAATTAAATTGATTAAATTTCCTGACTTGATGGGTAGTTTATCAATTCTCTCAAATACACTAGTACTTTTTATATAACAAAACTTTTAAGAAAAAAAATTAAAACGACAAAGTCAGTCCAAAAAGGAAAAAACCCAACCTTTTGGAAACTTTTTTTTTTTCATTGTCTTGGAGGAATGTATAAATGACTGAAAAACATTTATTTAACTACCATTCCTGGAAGGCAGCATGGCACTATGGGTACAGACTCTGGAATCAAACTGTCTGCCACAGGATCCCTGCTCGGGAACCCATAGACCATGATACGGGAGAGGTTCACTTAAGCCTGTGGACTTCAGTGCCTCACCTAAGAGAGAGGAGAACAGCAACAGCACCTGCACCCCCAAGGTTTATCGTGAGAGGTGAGTAATACGATACGTGCAAAATGCCTGGCACAAATCAGGTAATAAATATGAATTATTATTATACAGATATGAAAATAAAGCTTCAAAACTTTAAGTACACCAGGTACATTCATTGTTCCATTAAACGACTTCTTTCAAACAATTCATTTTAAATCATTTCAATGCACAGGTATACCTAGTTGCCGAAAGTGCCTAGGCAGAGGCTGTCTGTCAGAAAGGCTAAATTATTTCCAAGATCCCTTCTAACCCTTCAGTCTAAGATTTTAAGAGTTACATACATCATAAGAGCAAATCAAGTATAAATTATTTCCCAGTGACCATTTAAATCTCCTCTTAACAGTTCCTCAGATAATAGTAAACAGCTGGAAACTATCTTAAAAATTAACATCTAAAAGTTCTTCTATTGGGACAGCTGGGTGGCTCAGTGGGTTAAGCCGCTGCCTTCGGCTCAGGTCTTGATCCCAGGGTCATGGGATCGAGTCCTGCATCAGGGTCCTTGCTCAACAGGGAACCTACTTCTCTCGCTGCCTTTGCCTGCCTCTCTGCCTGCTTGTGTGTACTCGCTTGCTCTCTCTGGCAAATAAATAAAATCTTTAAAAAAATTTTTTAAATTAAAAAATTTTTAAAAGAAGTTCTTCTATTACTTCTCAAATCATTCCATGAAATAAAATGACTAATACTTACCACATTCAATAATGCTTCTAAAGCGCAAGTCACACACAGGTCCAATGCCATGTACCATGAACACCAAATGATCAACCCGAGGCATTTCCCCTACAAAAGAAATACATACATGCCTACATACAACCTGGGAAATTGTTTGGGTTTTCGTATGTGAATAGCAATATTCTAAATATCCCTTTTGTCACCACAAACTGGGCAAAGAAACTGAAGGCCCTTCCAAGCTAATAAACTTCATTACTCTCTATGAAATGAGAAGAACAAACTCAAGGTCCATCTTGGCAAATAACAGTGAACTAGACCGAGAGATGGAGGAAGCACGCCACCTCTGATCCCAGAGGCTCTGAGCACATGATAACCAGCAGTTTTGTACCTATCGAGACTCCATAACCTTCGTGATTTCTTCAGAACTCCCCAGGAGACTAAGCCCCACATGGAGAAGCAATATGCCAACACAGAACTTTAAAATATTTCCCCCAATGGGGTGCCTGGCAGGCTCAGTCAGAAGAGCATGCGACTCCTGATCCTGGGGTCATGAGTTCAAGCCCCACATTGGGTGTAGAGATTATTTAAATAAAATAAATAAATGAATAAAATATTTTCCCCAAATCCTTCCCTTTCCCTATATAATATACATTCTACAAAGTGCAACATCTTTAAGTTATATATGGGAAAACCAAGATAAATCTATTATTTTACTCTGGCATATAGAAACAACTACAGTTCAATCTATTTTACTCTGGTTATTTTGTTCACACTCATAATATGAGAACACTTACTTATATTTGTAATTTCATAAGACAATGAAACAAATATGAAATCTGCAATTGTCAAAGTAAAATCTGTATTTTCAACAGTGTAACAGGAGAAACCAAAGCCCATACACTGGAGCACTGGTTGGCCAAACAGGCCAAATCCTGCTCACCGCCTGGTTTTTACAGAGCTTTACTGGAAGACGGCTACGCTCATTTTTTTACAGTCCATCTACAGATGCTTTCACACTACACTGGCAGAGATGAACAGATGCAGCAAAGTCCATAGGGCCTCAAATATTTACTACATGGCCCTTAACAGAAAAAGTTTGCCACCTTTGCCACTGGAGGAATACACATTAGACGAAACGTGACCACAAAAGCCCAAAAATATTGCCAAAAGCCTAGTTTCAACCAGCAAAGCGCTTCTTCAGAACAATACATTTTTTTAGAATCTATGTCACATGGTTTGTATATCTTCAACAGAATTCTCAATTTTAAAATAAACAGATATAAAAGTAATAGAATAAAAAGAAAGATATATGCCAACCTGGCTGATTTCTGCATGTTATGGCAGGTAGGCCTAAGAAATGCTTTTTTTTTTGTCTCCCTAAAAAATGATGCTAAAATAGAGGAGTCTAAAAATGACCTTGGCCCTAAACAACCTATACGCACCGTCAGGAATCTCATCAAGGTTATCATCAATTCCACGCTTCACAACCCTGGGCCTCGTCTGTCCATCTTGTGTGGTTCCCCATTCATCTGGCACTGATGAAGGCTGGAACTGAACAATAACCTTGAAGACAGGACAGAAAGATTATGAAGACCTCATGAGCAAACTGATTTCCATGACAGGCTAAATAAATTACTTCAATACATAATTACTTCATAGTATCAACAGTTACAAGTCTAGTACTAGTATTATTCTCCCAAAACAATTTTGTAACAATCCTGCTAGGGTTCACATTAACCATTAAAACTAGGCAACTCAATACCACCAATTCTAATGCTTACACTGGAAAATACTACAACTAAATCAGAAGCAGTACACCTTAAAAAACGTAACATAAAAATCCAGGTTTACATATAACAAATTAAGAAAAATTACCTAGAATGGAAAAATCTTCATCTTACAAAAATATTTAAGGCGTAATTCTTTAAGTAGCAAGATTCCCAATTAATCTACTAATTCAATTTCAATGCCATAAACTGATTTACCCACCACTTCTTAGGAAAAAATACATTCTGTTAAATCAATTAAATTTAGTCACAAGTCACACAGAAATTTTTCTACTAAAAAAAAAGGAGGCATGCAAGATGGTATGCAAAGTTTTGTGTTTGCATCAAAAACAAATAAAAACATAAGTTAAAAGTAATTACCATCAGGGGGTGAAATGGGAAATGCAGAAGTGAGAGGCTTTTATTTTTTATTTGACCCCTTTTTATACTGTTTAAATTCTGTTGGCATATAAATATTTTTATTTCAGTATCAGGAAGAACTACAGAAGTGATGACATTAAAATTACTTTTGTTTTCTTGTATACTTCTCTGACATAAATAGCCTATGTTCTGAAAAATTATCATATGCCAAGCACGATGCTAGATGTTTTTGTATAAATTACTTCATTTTATCTAAAATATGACCTTGGAAGGTACTTACTACATGTGAGGAACCTGGGACTCAGAGTGATTAGTATGGTAAATGAAAGAACACCCCGAATTAATATCTTTAAAAAAAAAACTAGTGCATGGAGACAACACAAGTAAGAAAAGGAAGGACATTATTTTTAAAAGTTGAAACAAACCACCATCAAGGGTAGGATGGACAAACCATGGCCTCCAAACCAAATGTGAGCTACCGCATATATAAATAAGGTTTTACTACACTAGACACACCCCCTGCTTCATATATTATCTGCAGCTGCTTTCAGGCTACAGCGGCAAGCTGACAGCTGCAACAGAGATCGCACAGCCTATGAAGAATTAAATATTTACTCTCCCACCCTTGACAGAAAAAGCCTGCTGACCTCTGCTCAAGTGCAAACATTTATCAAACAACTTCAGTGGTGTATAATGAACTTCAGCTAACACACTGCCATAAAAGCAGAAACTTCATGAGAAAAATTCAAATTTTATTTTTGTTTCTATGATCAATGTAAACTATGGTAAGCTTTTAAAAAGGTGCACTTCTTATAAATATATCCCTACAAAAGTTAATTAAGATGAACATGTATCAACCACATTCAGCAAAATCATTATTAAAATGAACTTAACGTTTTAATATCTTAAACAATAACATTACCTTTGGATTGTGCATAACGATTGTCTCTCCACTTGGGAACTCTAATCTACGGTGCCACTGATTTGTGGTTACTGCTTTTTTATATTCAGCCTAAAATAATGGAAACATAATCCAGTAAAACAAATTTATACCATATTGAGAAAAAGTGTGGAACAAAAGTATAACTATGATGATAATAAAAATAATGTAAGAGAGGCTCTCACGTACTAATTGCCACACTTGACAGTCACTTTATATAGGCTACCTTATTTAATTAATTACTCTCAATCACTCCTAAATAAGATTATCCCCATCACATAGAAGAGAAAACAAAGGTCTACAAAGCCTGTTAGTATCCTAGGGCCATGGTAACAAAGTATCACAAACTGAATGGCTTTGCAAACAGAAAGGTATTATCTCACAGTTGTGGAGGCTAGAAGTCTGAAGTCAAGTATCAGCCGGCCATGGCCCTCAGAAACCTACAGGGAACTCCTTCCCTGCCTCTTCCTAGCTTCTGGTGGTTTACCAGCAATCTTCAGTGTCCTCTGGCTTACAGAGGCAACCCTCCCATTCTCTATTTTCACGGGGTATGACATCAAGTCCTATTGGATGAGGGGCCCACCCTTCTCCAGAATGATCTCATCGTAGCTAATTCCATCTGCAAGCACCCTATTTCCAGATAAGATCACATTCAGAGGCACTAGGGCTAGGACTTTAACACATCTTCTGGAGGCTGCAAAGGACGACACAATTGAACGCCCAGTTCACAGCTGCATAAGATTGCACACCATGAGGAGCACGCCAGAACTGCAGCTCACTCCCACCCTCAACTTTCTGACTCCAAAGACGTGACTGTTGAGGGGCGCCAGGCTGGCTCAGTCAGTTAAGCGTCTGTCTTTGGCTCAGGTCATGAGGGTCCTGGGATTGAGCCCCACATCAGACTCCTCGCTCAGTGGGGAGCCTGCTTCTCCCTCTGCCTGCTGCTCCCCCTGCTTGTGCTCTCTCTCCCTGTCAAATAAATAAATACTTTAAAAAAAAAAAAAAAAAGGCTGTTGAACTATTTTCTTACTCTTCCTCTAGATATAGTATTCTGCTTCCAACAAGGAAAAAAAAAAGCCTGGGGGCCTCTTGGACAGAGACTCAAGATGAGGTAATGTGGAACCGCTGCCACACCCACTGTCTGAATTTTTTTTTTTTAATTATTAACAATGATTATTTGACAAGCATGTCAAAATAGACAAGTTTCCTTTTGTCTCCTGGACAGTCACTGATTAATGACTCCCCTCCATCAGCCTCTACCCCTCTGCCTCTTCCTCACTTGACTTTTTGTAATTTTTACCATATGTACTTATAATTTTTAAAAGCAAGATTACAAATAAAAATGTTTAAAGAAAGAAGTTTCAATATCTTAAGAATTCTTTGCACTTTTACATATCCCCTTTCAGTCCACAGCTTTAGAATAAATGTTGTCTGCTAGAGCCAAGTTTCCACATGGCATTCTTTTAAAGGGTCTTGGTTATTCTTGACACTTTGACCCTCCGTATAAAATTCAGGAGCAGTTTACAAATTTTTACCTTAAAAACTCTGATGTAATTTTGATTGGGATTACATACAATTTATAAAATAATTTGGGCAGAACTGACATCTTAACTGTGTATCTGTGAACATACTTAGCTCCACTTCTTGAGATCACCTTTTATTTCAATTCTGTTTTATAGTTTGCTCCCACAAGTTCCCATAGGTATTTGTCAGACGTTTTCCTACATAGCCTATAGTTTTGTTAATGTTATAAATAGCATCTTCTTTTTATTATGGGTGCTAGTTTTTTTCTTTCTTTCTTTCCTTTCTTCCTTTCTTTTTTTAAATGTAAGCTCCATGCCCAGTGTGGGGCTCGAACTCACGGCCCTGAGATCAAGAGTCACACACTTTACCAACTGGGCCAGCCAGTCGCCTCCGTCTAGTGAGTTATTTCTATTATATAGGAATGCCATTAATTCGTATATGTTGATTTTATACCTACAGACTTGCAGTGCTAATGGTATTTCTAAAAATTCTCCCAACTTTCTATGTACCTAATCATGTCATCACCAAAGAGAAGGTGTTTTCTGTTTCGAAACCCTGTTTTGTCTCAGTGCTCTGATAGTACAGGATCACCTACACGATCTTGAGAAATATGTCTGCTTCTCTTCTTCTCATCGGCTTTCTCATCTCCTAACTTCCTCTGCATCTTCCCTGATCTGGTTTAAGCACCATGAAAGATGCTGAAGAGAAGCTAAGATCTCCCTAGATTATGAACAGCCGTGTGCTGTTGCGATGGTCAGTCCGTGGACAGCTGTCCCACCCTCAAAGCCTGTGTCATCCATTTGCAACACGGTTGAGATAAAGTGAATCCACTGAGATAAAACTGCTTAGACTTTATACTTAGACTATGTGCCTTAGCTTCAAAATAACAGGACTAAACTTGGGATGTTATACCTTCAGTAGGGCCCTACCAGAGAGACCAAAAATTATAGAATTATAGCATACATTTGCGTAATAATTTCGGTCTGAAATTATGCAACAGATATCAGCATTCTTTTACACATTCTTTTCCTCATTCAAATAACTAAGATTATGTTTTAGGAGAATGGTGCCTCCTAGTACATGATATTTCCAAGAACAAAATTAATTTAATGCCTTCTTTTCAGTCTTTGCTCTTCTTAACTGGGTTCTGACTCTGTTCTGTATCAGTGTTTTTCAAACTGTGGATGATGATGAGTAACAGATTATAAAATCAGTGTTTCAGATGAAACAGAAAATATCAGAGTGGCACCCGATAAGTCTAAGTACTGCTCTACAGGCCTTTGTTTTTAGTGGTGTGTGAGAGCAGGCTGACAGCAGCTCACAAGCACGCAACACAACTCTTCCCAACTGTGGCTACTAGCGTCCTGTTGGTAGCTCAAAGTTGGCCACGGAGGGACTATGTTTATCATGGAAATCAGCAAATTCTATAAATCAGGGGCTTTTATTCCCCAGAGAGCCTGTTACCACAAATGACTATTTCTGATAATTAAATTATCATCATAAGTGTATGTGTGTGTGTATAAAATACGTATACTAAATTTTAATGTCAAATGTATTTTTTACTATAGCTTGAAACAAAAAAAATGTGAACCCTGTGCTCTCAACAAGCTTCTTTTCCAATTTACTTTCCCCAACTAACCTCTGTCTTTCTTTAGGTCGACATTTATCTTTCAGTGTCAATTTGGTTATAAAATTGTTTTTCATCACTATTATAGAGATTAGTATTTCCAGAACAGGTACAATTGGTAATACCTAAGAAATGCATTTATAGGGGTGCCTGTGTGGATCAGTAGGCAAAGCATCAGCGTTTGGTTCAGGTCATGATCTTGGGGTCCTGGGATCAAGCCCCACATCAAGCTCCCTGATCCAGGGAGTCCGCTTCTCCCTCTGTCCCTCCCCCTGCTCATGCTCTGTCTATAATAAATAAATAAAATCCCTTTAAAAAATGCATTTATAATTATTTTTAAAAAACAAAATACGCCACAAGAAATCTACAATATTATGTTAGAAAAATATATATATGGATAGAAAACTGTTGAAGAAAATATTTTTTAAATATAAGGGCTCAATATGAAAGGATGACACATTAATGTGATTTAATTTTTTCTTATCTCTATTAAATATTACATCAAGCACAACAAAAATTTAATAATTAATAGTTAGCTGCTAAACTTGACTGTCAGCTCCTAACAAAACATAAAATCTAGTCCTTACTTGAAGCTACTCAAAATATGAACTAGGAAAGGTTAACATTTTAGAGGTCCCTTTTACCGATAACATAGTATTATTTTAATGTTTTCTGTTAGAACAGGTTACCTAAGTTTTAATAACTACAACTTTAAACAATAGTAACTACAGTGTTCCGTATCTCATTTCCATGTATGCAAATTGAATTCACCTAACTTATTTCAAACATTTAATTCAACCACGAAGTAGACTAATCATAAGAAATTAACACAATTATGTAAAACATTACCCAGTAGTTTCAGAATGGCTAGTAAATCTTGAGACATGTGTTCCTATTCTGTTTTCTACTTATTTTCAAAAATCAGAAGTTAATCTCAAGCCTTCTACTGAACAGTAATTTGAAAAGCATCCATATGCTTGGCAATTGCTGTTAACAACAGATCCCAGCAGACTAAGTTGATTTTAAGGTTTGCTACGAGTACCTTTTTAGATTTGTGATATGTCCCTGAAAAACAGTCTATCTTCAGACAGGGCAGCCACAATTAGCATCTCATGAACAACGGCACCACTTAAAAAGCAATCCTCTTTGTGAACAGGATCAAAACAAGCTCTTATCAATAAAGCCAGCTCTCAGGGCACCTGAGTGGCTCAGTCGGTTAAGCTATTGATTCATGATTTCGGTTCAGGTCAGGAACTCCAGGTTCTGGGATCAAGCCCCAAGTCAAGCTCTACGCTCAGCAGGGAGTCTGCTTGAGATTCTTTCCCTCTGCCCCTCCCTCACACACACACATGTGCACATTCTCTCTCTCCCTCTGCTCTAAAATAATTCTTTAAAAAAAAATAAAGTCAGTTCCATTGTGAGTGGTGTTGTAGGAGGCTCCAATATATACAAAGGCCTATGTTTTTTAAAGAAATGGGTAAAGGAAATAAGCCCACATACCTCTAGTTTTTCACTGAACTCCTCTGTATAGGGAATAAATCTGCTGTCCGTGTCCCCTTTGTAGAACCAAGTACAGCGTCTCACTTCAGCGGGCTCCTCCTCCCAGTACACAGCCTTCCTCACTCGGTCATAGAGATACACGTCATAGCGCCCTCCATCCGTGCCTAGAACCACGCTCTCGGGGTCTGGCTGGACTGGGGCACAAAGTTCACATTTTAACCCAACAGTAACAAGGCATGTTAAAAAGTAATAAATAATGAATATGGTGATTGGCTGATCCTAAAAGACAACTAAGTTCATTTTTGTTTAAAAACAGAATTTTAAGATTAATTTGTGCTGTACAAAATTAGGACTCTTCTTAACTGAAGAAAAAAATAGCCAGAGCAAAGTTTTTTGGGTTTTTTTTAAGATTTTTTTTATTATTTATTTGACAGAGAGAGATCACAAGTAGGCAGAGAGGCAGGCAGAGAAAGAGAGAGAGGAGGAAGCAGGCTCCCTGCTGAGCAGAGAGCCCGATGCGGGACTCGATCCCAGGACCCTGAGATCATGACCTGAGCTGTAGACAGAGGCTTAACCCACTGAGCCACCCAGGCACCCCAGAGTGAAGTTTTAAAACATAATCATTTAAGGGGCTCCTGGATGGCTCAGTTGGTTAAGCCTCTGCCTTCAGCTCAGGTCATGATCCCAGGGTCCCAGGACTCAGTCCTGCACTGGGCTCCTTGCTCAGTAGGGAGTCCGCTTCTCCCTCTCCCTCCAGTCCCCACCCAGCTTGTGCGCGTGCACATGCACACATGTTCTCTCAAATAAATAAAATCTTTAAAAAAAAAATGACCATTTAAAAAAAAAATCATAAAATAATTCAAATAACTGCCAGGTTTTCTTTTTTTAATCAAAGCAGCAATGCTCCATAAAGTATATTTCTAGGGGGTATTAACAAGTGACTTTTTTTTAAAGATTTTATTTATTTGTTTGACAGAGATCACAAGTAGGCAGAGAGGCAGGCAGAGGGTGGGGGGGGGGAGCAGGCTCCCTGCCGAGCAGAGAGCCCGATGCAGGGCTTGATCCCAGGACCCTGGGATTATGACCTGAGCCGAAGGCAGAGGCTTTAATCCACTGAGCCACCCCAGCGCCCCTAACAAGTGATTGTTAAGTCCCATGATGAATATCAGGAAGGGACACCTGCGTGGTGCAGTCGGTTAACATCTGCCTTCAGCTCGGGTCATAATCCAAGGCTTCTGGGATCGAGTCCAGCATCAGGCTCCTTGCTTAAGCATGGAACCTGCTTCTCCCTCTGCCTACCACTCCCCCTACTTGTGCCCATGCTCTATTTCTGGCAAATAAATAAATAAAATCTTAAAAAAAAAAGAAATAGCATCAGGATGAATACACATATTTCTATACTCCCAATTCTCAGAGAGCCTTAAGACTACGGTGCACTATCTCAAAAGGTGAATGAGGTTAAATCATTTCCAAAACTCACCTGACCACAGAACACTTTTCAGAGCATCTTCAGGAACAAGAGTTCCAAAGATGTTTTATAAATGCCCAATAGCTACAAATGAATAAGGGAAATAGAAAAATTGACACCCACATTATGCGAACTAGTCTATTTCTCTAACTTAAAACACCTTTAAACAAAGAAGAAAATTATTAAAACATTTCTTTAAAAACCTTGCTCAAATAACTCAGGACTTGTGTTCATATCACTGTCTTAAGGTACCGAGTCTGGTGGAGTCTACAGGGACTACTAAGGAATTTGACATTCACAAAAAATAAGCCGTGGATAAATACTCTTTATTTCTGTTCTTCCTAAAATCAGATACAAATGTATCTGTACACGATCAGTACTTACCTGAGTTATAGATTTCTTCAAGATTTGAAGAGTCAAACATACTGAAAGGCATCCATAGTTGTTTGTATTCTACCTCCTTGCAGTAAAACCAGTGGGGCTGAACAGGTTCGTACTGGTTTTGAAGTAGAAAAGGAGATGGCACTTGCGCAGAGGGACCTGCTGGTCTAGCCAGGGCCTGCTGTTGTGTTGGAGGGGTCAACCCTGATGGCACTGAAGGAGGAATCTGGAGGACACAAAAAAAAGTTAGAGAACTATGATGTTTGTCCAAGAAAACAATTCCATACATGCCTCGGACCCAAAGTGACATTAGTAATGATTATCCTACATGTATTTCTAGACAACTGTTTCATTTAATAAGTAGGCCTGAAAGCAACTAAAATTTTTTTGATAAATCTAACAAAATCCAACACCAGTCTTAAAAGTAAACTGGGCAGGGGCACCTGGGTGGCTCAGTGGGTTAAAGCCTCTGCCTTCAGCTCAGGTCATGATCTCAGGGTCCTGGGATCGAGCCCCGCATTGGGCTCTGTGCTCAGCAGGGAGCCTGTTTCCCTTTCTCTCTCTCTGCCTGCCTCTCTGCCTACTTGTGATCTCTATCTGTCAAATAAATAAATAAAATCTTTAAAAAAAAGAAAAAAAAAGTAAACTGGGCTTTCTCAAACTCATGGCAAAGTAAATTAGCACCTTCACAGAAAGCAACCTAGCAGTGTGTCTTCTATGATTTAGTAAATCTTTATAACGTGCACATTCCTTGACCCCACCATTCCATTTCTAAGAACTCACCCTAAAGATTTAACACAAAAACAAGTAAAAATTTACCTATAAAGATGTACACAATAGGTGATTTATAACAGAAAGTCACTGGACACAATCTAAATGTCTTACAGAAGGGCACCTGGGTGGCTTAGTTAGTTAAGCGTCTGCCTTTGGCTCAGGTCATGATCCCAGGGTCCTGGGATCGAGCCCTGCGTTGGGCTCCCTGCTCAGTGAGAAGCCTGCTTCTCCCCCTCCCACTCCTGTGTTCCCTGCTTGTGTTCCCCTGGTTGTGTTCCCTCTCCTCTCGCTGTGTCTCTGTCAAATAAATAAAATCTTCAAAGAAAAACAGGTCTTACAGAGACCTGATTAAATAAATTATGTTACTTAAATCCTGAAATTCTCTAGAGCCATTACAAATGTTGTAGAAAAAAAGTTAACATCTAAAAAATATGCATGGAAATATGTTTGTCTAGAAAAAATATAACAAAGACACATAACAAAATGAAAAGACGGGTTACAGAGAGACAGTTTTTAATCATTTGACTTTTCTACATTTTCCAAATTTTCTATACTGGAAATACTTTTAAAATCAGAGTATAACTATTTTAAAATTTTTTAATTGAAAATCATTTTGGAATGTATCAATATTAAAGCTACTGAGGTGTTAACTGTACAGTACTTATATGAAAGAACTTTCTTACTCTTAGAAAATATATACAAGGGGCGCCTGGGTGGCTCAGTTGGTTGAGCATCTGCCTTCAGCTCACGTAATGATCCCAAGGTCCTGGGATTGAGTCCCACATTGGGTTCCCTGCTGAGTGGGGAGTCTGCTTCTCCCTCTGCCTCTCCCCAACTACCTGACTTGTGCTCTCTCTCTTGCACACTCTCTCAAATAAATAAATAGAATCTAAAAAAAAAAAAAAGTAAATATGCATGAAAATATTTAGGAGTAAAGAGTCATCATGTATTCAACTGACCAAGTATTTCCCAAAACAACTGCACACATACATGGTGAGAACAGGAGAGAGAGGATGACCAAATGCCTGTGACTGCATGTGTGCACAAGCGAAAGAACAAATGGGGTAAGATGAAATGACAGATAAACATGGGTTAAGGGTACCAGGGTGCTATTTGTATTTTTGCAACTTTCTTTCTTCTTCTTCTTTTTTTTTTTCTTTAAAGATTTTATTTATTTATTTGACAGAGATCACAAGTAGGCAGAGAGGCAGAGGAAGGGAAGCAGGCTCTCTGCCGAGCAGAGAGCCCAACTCGGGGCTCAATCCCAGGACCCTGGGATCATGACCTGAGCTGAAGGCAGAGGCTTAACCCACTGAGCCACCCAGGCGCTTCTTTTTTTTTTTTTTTTTTTTTTTTTTTTTTTTTTAAGTAGACTCCATGCCTAGCACAGAGCTCAATGCAGGGCTGAAACTCATGACACTGAGATCAAGACCTTAGCTGAGATCAACTGAGCCACCCAGGACCCCTGCAACGTTAAGTCTGAAATTACCACTTTTAAAATTCTTAAATTAGATATCTTTGCAAGAGTTTAATCAGCAAACTAGTATGTTAACTATACTGCATACTGTAATCCAGTTATGTTCCAATATGCTGAAATCTAACATTGCCAAGAGTTTACATGTTGAAAGGATTTAAATTAAACAATAAAACAGCCCATTCTCTATCCCCAAGAGAGAAGTGAGGTTATACTCTAACGATAATACTGCTACCCTTGCCACACTGGGTTGGGTTCTTAATTCTTCCTTTTAATCACTTCCATTTCTTTGATTCAGGTGATTTCCCTGTGGAAGTCAGTTGAGCAATTAGCTGGGAAAAGAGCATAAGGGAATTTCATAAAATTTACCCAATGCAAATGTTGTTCCATCACCCTCCTGAGAGAGAATCTGACTGTCTAGACCCAAACTTCATAGTGTAAATAAAAGAAATTATTGGAGTAATCAATTTTAGTTCCTGTAATTGAATGGTTTGATTGAATAGAATAATTAAAAAGTGAGAAGCTGGCAGTCTGTTCATAATTGCTTCAACTCTCACAGGTCCCCAGATGACATTTATTATTGATCTCTTACACTAAAATCTGGGAATACTGATACGTAGTTAACTCATTAAAATCAAGAACTACTTCCATACACTGATAATATAAACCAATATATGAACCATTCGACGAGTTACCTTTTTTTTTTTTTTAAGAGTTTATTTATTTATTTGACAGACAGAGATCACAAGTAGGCAGAGAGGCAGGCAGAGAGAGAGAGGAGTAAGCAGGATCCCTGCAGAGCAGAGAGCCTGATGCACGGCTCAATCCCAGGACCCTGGGATCATGACCTGAGCCGAAGGCAGAGGCTTTAACCCACTGAGCCACCCAGGTGCCCCTGACAAGCTACCTTTGAAAGAATGTTTCCTTCAAAGCATGTAGCTTACAAAGAAGGGCCTCTGAAAATAATTTGTCATCACGTTGATTAGTAGAAGTGCAGTGTTTTAAAAGACATAGGCTAAAATGACAGACAGATTAACAAATCAGAGTGAATAGGTAGGATTTAAAAACACGTCTCCTACCGGTGGCAAAGATCCTCCAGGCATCTGGTACATCTGCACGGGGGGGCCCGGGGCTGGAGGATGGGCGGGATGGGCTGGTGTCTGGCACTGCTGCAGCTGCGGTGGTGCAATGTAAGGATTGGCCCTGCTGCTCACAGGGGTATGACGATACGGATTGTGTCCTTGTTGGGGTGCTCCTTGCGGTGGGCTCCCAAAATTGGAAGGAGGGAGACTACCCGGCTGAGAAGGCAGGTAAGCATTCATTCCCATCTGTGAAGGTGGAGCACCATACTGAGCCTTCGAAATGGGCGGTGAACACGCATTCAACCCATCTTGGGGTCCAGTTGTAAAAGGGAGAGCAGCAGGGGACTTGGAGAATGCGGAGGGCCCAGCTGACGTTGCCACAGTCGTTAACGGTGACTGTCCAATATTCCCAAAAGGATCACTACTGCTTGATACCTGAGAGAAGTAACTAAATGTCTGTGGGGTAGACGTGTGAGCCGAAGTCTGACCGAGGAAGCTGTCCTCCTCACCGACATCCGTGGAATCCTCTGAAAGGGAACGGGAGAGCAAACGGTTTAAAGGTTCGTCTACGGCTCTGCAGAGAGGATCCAACACGGCAGATCTAGCAACTGTACCTCATTTTATTGTTCTATTTCTGCATTACAGAAAAAAAAAAGATGAAAACCTTTTTTTTTTCTTCGAAATGAAAAACCAGAAAATACGAACAAGAAACAAGAAAAAGAGGGAAAAATTAGATTTCATTCATAAGCCAACCTCTCAGAGATAATCACTTTGGTACATGACCTTTTACATTTTTTGAATAAATATAGTTAAGTATTTCTTTTGTAAATATATACAGATCACACCTATTTGTTTAAGGATGTTTTCAAGAAAGGAAATGAAATTTGTATCTACAATGTTTATATCTCATTTTTTCCTGATAAAAAAATAATTCAAATATTATTCTACTATCAAATTACACATAATTTTATTTCTACAACTGAAGTGCAGATATGACTGTGTTGACAAGAAGGGTGTGTTTCAGGTCTGCTACCTACTACAAAGCACTCATTGTACAAATGAACATGTGGCATTTGTATTCCCAAGGCAAAGTAGGTCAACCATTTATTACCATCCCTAAAATCACACAGTATCACATCCAGGTAACTAGCCTTTAGAGAATGTCAAATCGGGAGAAAAGTCATTTTCTAACCAAGGGAAGTTCTCTTCACTTCCCTTTGCCAAAAATGATTTTCACTGCAGGTACTGTCAACCCCAAATTATCTTCTCTTCTGCGACCAAGCTATAAAATAAAAGCCTGTTCCCTGGGACGCCTGAGGGGGTCAGTCAGCTAAGTGTCGCCTTCAGCTCAGGTCATGATCCGGAGATCCTGGGATCAAGTCCCTCATTGGGCTCCCTGCTTCTCCCTCTCCCTCTGCCTGCTGCTCCCCCCAACTTGTGGGCGTGTGTGTGCGTGCCCGCGTGCACACACACTCTCTCTCTCTGACAAATAAATAAAACCTTAAAAAGAAAAAGAAAAAAGCATGTTTCCTCTACACAACCTAAAAAGTCCAGCCTCTTCTTCCTTACTAAGTTTTTATAAGCCCTTACCTTAGCTTGTAGAAACTTTCCTCTCCCTCGTCTTTTCCTCCTCCAGTCTCATTCCCTCTTATCTCCTGCTGCTGGAGGCACGGAGCCCAGCAGAGGACCCACACCCAGCACGCTGTGATCCTTGCTCCCGAGTGGCCTTTCAAGCTCCAGGATCCTTCTTGACCTCTGCTGAAGGAGGCCACTTGGCTCACAGAGATTCTGGCTTGAGCTTCTAGGTTGCTCCCATTATATTTCTCACCCATCAATTTAACTAAGATACTCCACTATTTAAAATACTCCTCTCAGTTGTTTCTTTGTAACTAAAAATAAAATATCACCTCCTGCACAAAGCCCTTTGTCTGCTGGTTCTATTCTCATTTTCAGATATATTTCAGTTCCCACTCTCTCTCTTCAACTGCCTGGACCTCACTTGTCTGTATTTCTCAGTTTATCTCTCAACAACTAAAAACATGGAGTGGAGGGCGCCTGGGTGGCTCAGTGGGTTAAGCCTCTGCCTTGGGCTCAGGTCATGATCTCAGGGTCCTGGGATCGAGTCCCGCATCGGGCTCTCTGCTCAGCAGGGAGCCTGCTTCCCTCTCTCTCTCTGCCTGCCTCTCTGCCTACTTGTGATCCCTCTCTGTCAAATAAATAAATAAAATCTTTTAAAAAATAAATAAATAAATAAATAATAAATTAAAAAAAAATAAAAACATGGAGTGGAGAAAACCTCTGTGGTATCCTTCTTCCTTTAAGACAACTTGGGATCAACCTGATCTAAGAAACTTTTTCCTGATTAGCATCCATCGTAAATGAAATGCTGATCTCAACGTGCTGCCAGCTCACCTCAGGGGCACTTTCTGATTACACGTGGACACATTTGGTAAAGACACCCACAACTTTAATGGGCACTTGTACACTTGTGACACTCCCAACTCTGTCTCAAACCGATACTGTTCTCAGGTGTTCCAGAACCTATTAGCCAACTGCTTCCTCGACACTGCCGGCAGCTCAACCACATACACCTCAAACTTAGCCTGGAAATGAATTTGTCACCTTAACCGTCTCCCTTCTTGTGCTTTTACTATACTATCTCAACAGATGTTTGTCAACATCCATTCAGACACTCAAATCAAAACATCCCCTAGACTCCTCCCCTCCCATCATTTCTCAATTCCTTCATTTAATCATTCAGATACTCATTCAAGAAACATGTACACAGTATCCAGAGGCAGATACGTTGATTTCACAAACACTTACATAACACTAGGTGCCAGACACTACAGTCGGCACCTTACAAAAATCAATTCACTTCTCCTGACAGCCTTATGAGGCCGTACAGATAAGGAAAGTGAAGCACAGAGAGGTAAAGTAACATGCCTGAGGTCACACAGCAAGTTACCGGCAGAGCCTAGGCTGGAACACAGTCTGGGCTCCCAAATGCCATACTCTGTATTATGCCACACAATCATTAAACAGCAATACCCCTAGACAATAATAAAGAAGTGAAAGAGCTAGGGTGAGCATGGGAATGGGGGACAAGGAGAACGAGAAAAAGCTTCTCAGACAAAGGGAAGCACTGTCTTTGAAAGACGAGTACTGCATTCTGTACCTCTGCTTTGCAAATATTACAAGTCTATCCCAGGAAAGGGAAGCTGTCCATCCAGGACATTCCCTACTGCATCCTAGTTGAGAAGCACTAACTTCTCTGCATTCCCTAGCACACCAGTAGGTGTTCAACAAAAAACTGGGTAATGTCAGTGCCAGCGTGGAGCGGCCAGCCCTCGGGACAGAGGGCTCCTTGGACGATGAGCAAGCCTCCTGATCTAGCCCCCGCTTGGGATATCTCAAAGCCCCCGGGCCACTCAAACCTGGTCACTGATGGCCCAGGCAAGCTAACAGGAGTCGGGTACACACGAAGGAAAACCTCCCACCCGACCGTCGTCGCCCCACGCCCCCCACCCGCCTCCCCACACACACTCGTCCCACCGGATTCCCCTCTCCCTACTACCTCCGGGCAGGAGCAAGGAGGCCGAGGCAGCGGCGGCTTGGGTGACTGGGATGAAGGGCACGTTGAAGCTGAATTCCGTGGCCGAGGAGGAAAAAAGTAAGTTAGTGCCCGATGAGGAGGTGCTGGCGGGACCGCCGCCACCGTTAGGTTTCCTCTCGGCCATGGCTGCCGCCCACCGTCCGTTACACGTCTCCTGGAAGCCGGTGCACTACCACCGGCCGGAAACCGGTCACACTCGGGGCCAACACACTTCCGCACTTGCGCACAAGGCCCGGAACTCCGGGATGCTGGTCAGCCTCCTTCCCTTCCTCTGGAAAGCGCCGCCAGAAAGCAACATGGCAGCGCTGGCTTCAAGCCCGAGTCCTAGCACGTAATACTCCCCGGCGCTGCCGGGGCCGAGGCTGGGGCTGGAACGTGGGTGTAGCGGTGCTGCTAGTTCTGAATTTAGGCGCGCGGTGATGCTGAGGGTCACGGGTTGCGGGGGGCACTCTGGGCTTCCTAAAAGTACGGTCGGGCGAGTGTAACTGGCAAAGATTTCGAAGGAACGGCAGAAGGCTGCAGGAGCAGGCAGCGGAGTGCTACCCGCTTTGGGAGGGAAGAAGAGGTGTGTGAGCCATTTGTAGCCAAAGCTGAGCCCAGTTCACCCACGCTCGTACTCACATCCAGCCCGCCCACATGTCTTTCTGGACTGAACTGAACTCTTTCTGTTGGCCCAGAAATAGAAATGGCAAAAACTTTGGAAGTTTTTAAGCCGCGTTTAAAAGAGGATCCAGAGAATTGAAATTTAGAGGTGCTACTTTTAAAATAGCTTTCTATATCTGTCTGCAGTAATCAGATTAGCTGAATCCCAAAATGCACTGGGGGTGATTTGATGTAATTGTCATCTTTCATGTAGTTGGAGATTATGAAACAAAAAGTAACAGATAAGTAGCTTTTTGAAGAGTGGGAGAGGAAGACAGACCCCGAAAGAGGCTTTGAAATAACGAAACTCCTCCCCACAGCCGTTCACAAGCCTGTAGAGAACCTATTCAATTAATTCAGTAACTATTTAGTGTGCTTACTGTCAGAGATAAACAAAGCCAGACACTGGCTAAAGCAGTAAGAATAGATTTTACTCAGTAACAGCAATTACAACAGGAAAGAGGGTACATAGTGAATTGAACTGAACTTCCCCAAAAATAAAAAGACTGAGACTTTTTAAAGTCTGGGGTGCTACCGGGAAAGCATTGAGAGGTGCCAAGGGGTGTTGGTCCATGGGACTAGGCCACCTGGGCTTGTTAATTGGCATGTACCTGGAGGAGAAACAAACTTCTCATGTCTTTATGACAGCCAGTTACACAAGTTAGGGCAATACACCACCAGGGAGGGAGGAGATGGGCCTTGAGAAGACAGTTCTGTGTGGCAGATTTGCATCTCAAAATTATAAGGGATTGATAATTGCAAGTTTTCTAAAATAACTATGCTGAAAGGGAGCTCAGGGGCCTATATGCCTAGCACCAAGTTTGGGCTGGAACAAACAGTAAATTCCCCTGGCAGTGTTGGTCTTTCTCAGGGCAGGCATTTTAGGAGGATTGGGGTCAGTCTAGGGACATGACCTTAAACTGCTAGAAGGTTGCTAAATTTGGTCAAGGAGAGTATCTTTGTCATTCCTATGGGGTAGGAAAGAGTATACTAAACATTGAGAGTACGGTGGTGTATAAGATAGATACAAGACCCTCCCTTCTTAGACCGTATACTTTGGCTGGGAAGACAGAAAACTAAACACATACTGACAGTAAACTATAGTGTGATGAAAGTTGTAATATAGAAATTCCCAGTATGTCATGTGGGATATGGACAGCACCAGGGGAGGGAGGCCTAACCCTTCTGTGGAGAGAGATAGCAAATATTTAGACCAATCAGACCATCAATAAAGGACCTGCATAGTGTTGAGTGACAAGAAAACCTTCTTTGAAGAAAAATTAAAGTCGGAACCTGGAAGACAATGAGGAGAAGCTAACTGGAAAATTTGGTGGGGCGGTTTTGGAGGAAGCGGTAAGAGGTCATTTCAGTAAAGTCGCAGTAGGTAGGGATACCCTGAGATACCACGTTTGGGTGTGAAGAGACACACGTGTTAGAGTCGGGCTGGAACCCAATGACCAACTGGGAGAAAGTTGGGAGATGAGAATGAAAAATTCGGCGAGGCCAGATGATGCGGGGTCTTACAAGAGCAAAAGGGAATTGAAAAAGGGTTGAAAGGAGGGCAGAGAAATAACATTTGCTCTGGGGAGGGTCCACTCTGACTCGTGGGTAGTAGCATAGAGGAGGAAGGAGGAAGCTGCAAGTAGGAAGAGCAGCGAGCAGGCTGCTCCTGTGGACCAGGCAAGCAGTGGCAGAGGCTCAAATTAGACCACGGCCGTAGGAATGAACAGAAATAGGAGTTACTTCTGGGGAAAGACGTCAGATTGAACCAAAGTGTCATTTTCTTCCTCCCGACGCCCTACTGAAAACACGAATAGGTGGGGGATCGTGGATGGCTCAGTCTGTTAAACCTCTGCTTTCAACTAGGGTCATGACCTTGGGGTCCTGGAATCCAACTCCTCCGCTTTGGGCTCCCTGCTCAGTGGGGAGTCGGCTCCTCCCTCTGCCCCTCCCCACTGCTTGCACTAGCTCTCTTGTGCTCTCCCACTCTCTCAAATATATAAATAAAATCTTTCCCCAAAAAAAACGCTATTAGGTGTGTTTGTTTTTTAAACCCATAAGGATGAGGTGGTTGGGAGAGGATTTGACAGCAATAAGATTTTGCGCGCGCACGCGCGCGCGCGGACACACACGAAATGGACCTGTAGTAGGTGATTTAGCAAACCAATAATGGGAAAAGCGCAGGGGCAACTTTATTTGCATCATAAAATCATTTTAAGGCTCAGGTCCTGATAACCTCAGGCACCTCAGGAAGGAGCAGAGAAGCTAGAGAGAGGTCCTGTAATTAGGTAGATTGATTAAAACTGTTGGACAAGAAGTTAGGCCCCTTCCTCCTACTCCAAGTAACTGGACCACTAACCATCCCCCTTCTAGAAAAAAGACTGTAACTTTTCCCTTCTGGAGTGGGCAACAGAAGGAACACTAAGCAAATATGTGCTTACTGAATAATCAAATACTCTCTCCCACAACCCCAGCCGAGTTTCTCTACTCAGCTCTAAGAACACTGGCTGACAGGTCTTCAACCTCTAGGCAGAAGATTAGAAGAATGCTCTCTGGGGCATGGGAAGGAGAGATGTAGAGATGCTGAAGTCAGTGTTCCCAAGGAAGACAGTCCAGCCAGATCGCCTCATAATTAAGCTCACAGTCAACAAGCCCTATTTATATGCTCTGAGCTCCCAATCACTTTGTTAGTCGCCATGATGTGGGACACAAAAGCAGAGGAAATGCAGATAAAAATTAAATCTCCTTATAACCTGCAGATCACTGACAAATACTTGAGATAGGCTGATTATAACTTTTCTCCAGGATCCTGCGTCTTCTTAAAATATGAAAGTCCTGGGGCACCTGGGTGGCTCAGTGGGTTAAGCCTCTGCCTTCGGCTCCAGTCATGGTCTCAGGGTCCTGGGATCGAGCCCCGCGTCGGGCTCTCTGCTTGGTGGGGAGCCTGCTTCTCCCTCTCTCTCTGCCTGCCTCTCTGCCTATTTGTGATCTCTCTCTCTGCCAAATAAATTTAAAAAAAAAATGAAAGTCCTTTTGGAACTTTCCTTTATCATTACTTCTTCCAACCCCAAGGTATATAATCAGTTGCTCCTCACAATCCCAGGGAAGCAGAGAGTAGCAGGCAGTGACTCTTTCTGCCCATGGGTCCTGTCCCTGGGATTTAATAAAACCACCATTTTGCACCAGAGACACCTCAAGAATTCTTTCTTGGCCGTCAGCTCTGGATCCCAGCAACAAGATTTAAAAAGACGACATCACCCACACTTTATTTTTTCATTTTTATTTTTGCTAAGTATGCTCTCCACCCAATGTGGGGCTCACACTCACAACCCCAAGATCAAGAGTTGCATGATCTACCTACTGAGCCAGTCAGTCACCCCAAGTCCCCACACTTTAAATACAACCACCACATGTTGAGAAGAGCCTTTAATGTGAAAGAGATCAAAACAAGACACACAAAAAAGGAAGAAGAAATAGCAATGTAGAAGGAACAACCCACCCAAGAAGAAAAAGACTTAAAAAAAATCTATCAATAATATCCTCAGGGGCGTAAGAAGGTCTGTAACCAAGAAACAAGACTAGGGTGTTATTTTAAAAAGAAATGTTCAGGGAACAAACAAGCAAATCAGTAGAAGGAAGATAAATAATAAGGAAATTTCCCAAAAAGTGAAGCAAAAAGACAAACAGATGGGAGCTAAAAGAGAAACATAAGAAAATTTGAGTGCCGGGCAAGGAAAGCCAATATCTGTATATTAAGAATTCTGCTAAGAATAGAGACAGAGAAAATGCAGAGGAGGATATCATCAAAGAAAAAAAAATTATTCCCAGAGATGAAGGATACAAGTTTCCAGGTTGAAAGGGTTGAGAACCCAGCACAATTGTTGAAAATAGACACATACTAGAACATTGGAGACAAACAGAAGATCCTAAAGATTCCAGAAAGATAAGAACAGGTCAAATGCCAAGGAATTCAGCCCTCAAAACACTTACCCCCCCCCACCAAGCACACCTTCTAAGAAAGCAAACAGAGGAAGAACTCCACCAAAATAAAGGAATAAGCCAAGAAAGTCTTCTTATGTGGGATACAAGAAACACGGTGTCCAACACAAGCGTACAGGGGAATGTGAGATGTTATAACAAAAAAAAAAAAACCAAAAGTGCAACAATGGCTCAAACAAAATAAACGTTCATTTCTCACTCACATAAGAGTACATGTAGGTAACCAACTTTTCACCTTCAGCATAAGGTTCCATAGCTGCTCTCATTCCTGCCAGCTGTGGCCACAGGAAGAGGTCAGAGCTTAGGCACAAACATCTCCTCTTAACAAGTGAGGCAGCCCTTGCCCGAGGTGCTTCTGTTCACATTCCACCAGCGGGATCTCGGTACAAGAACAGCCAGAAGAGCGTCCCCACCTGAGCAGCTGCATCTTAACTACAATTCTATAGTTGTTCTGCAGGGAGGAAGAAGATTTAAATGGGCACATGACCAGCACCACGACAGTCTGTCCCTCTGGCCACCAAATACCAACCCATCTTCGCAAACATAGAACTT